TTAAAGATTTCTCAAGAACCACAAGGCCAATTTTAACGTTCTTACCACCATTAGATGCGACTTGATGAGCTCTACAACTTTTGTTATAAGCCCAAGAGTGATTCACTTAGTAAGAAAAAAGGTTTTAGATTGGTGCACTCCATATTTGGCTCAATAGTAAATTTTACTTATAAAAATTTGTAGATCTTTTTTGGTTAACTGGCAAATCACCAATTAAAAAGATTTTACTTAAAATTAACTAGTAATGATCATCACTAGTATATAATTAGCCAATAATAATAAACTAAAAAAGATTTTATTTATTTATTTAGAGTTAGAGTAATGTTAAAGGTAGTTTTATAGACAAATTCTTGAAATATTAATATTTTTTTTAAAAATATCTTTATTTTTATTATATAAATTAATTTGCACATTACATCTGATCTTGCAAATTTATTAGCTAATTATATACTGATGATTATCACTACTGATTATAATTATAAATATCTTATTAAAAAATCTATTAAAAATTAATCTTAATATAAACTATTTAAAATAAAATTTTACTAAAACATATTTGTGATGTTTTATATCTATATATACATTATTTCAAAAACTGACTAATTAATCAGTATAAGGTGTTCTAAGTAAAATGTTTTACTAAGTTTAGATTGCAGATAACTTTTATAACTTTAGAGTTAGCAAAAGCTCTATCTAAATCTCTAGTTTTAGTATTTTATAGATATAAAGTTCAAATAATGTAATTTTTTTATTTTTATTTGTAAAGATATTTAATTAGATTTTAATAAAGATAAAGACATGGCCTTACTTTTGAAGATTAAAAAAAACAATAATTGTCTAGTTTGAATCTTTTTTATAGTAATTTTTTATAGTTTGAAATATTAAAATTGTTGACCAAATGATTATTAAAAAAATTTGCTAACTTCTTAAATAATATTAATTTGCATTTAAATTCTTTATTAATTACAAGTAATTTTAATATTATAAATAATAACAAAAAGCAGTTTGGTATTTTATAAAAGTTTGTTAAAAATATTAATCTATTTATATAAAATCTTAATTATTTCAAATATAAATAACAGAATTATTTTTTATTACAAATTTGTATTTTTATTAAACAGCTAATTAGAATAGATGTTAAAACATTTCTTAAGCCAAAATATAAATATAATTATAGTATATAATAGTAATTTATCATCTTTTTATATAATAATAAACATGTAATTTTTTTATAAAACTAGTTAATACAGTATATCTTTTTTAATATTCAGATCGTTATACAAGTTATAAAAGTAACCTTACTATCAATATAAAAATATTTTCTTTCTATTTAATCTCAAGTGAATTAAGTGAATTGAATTGTAAAATAATATATAGTTATTAGATGTGAAACATCCAATAACGAGAATTATTTTTTCATAATAATTGACATGGATCACATGTTAATCATTATACAGAAAAAATAATTCAAGTATCTGGCTGTTTAACTTAATATGCCTACTCTGAGCCAATAACGGTATTATCCAGTATCTTACTATGATAGGGCTTGCCAAATAACTTGAGTTGTTTGGAAGTTGTTTTAATATAAAAAATAACTTATGTAATTTGGCAGTCGTAGACCGCCAAAATAACTCAAGTGATTCATTTTTATATTAAAAACAACTGCCAAATAACAAAATGTTATCCGGCAGCTACTATGATCGTACCAACAGAATAGCTCGAGTTATTTTGATGGTGATTGCATCATAATCAAATAGCGAAGTTATTTGATAATTACGCAATCATTAACTCGAGTCATTCTGTTGGTTCGGTCGTCGTAACTACAGGAGTATTTTCAAATAACTCCCGTTATTGGCTGCTTCGCATCCAATAGTGATATATTATTAACCAACAAGATTAAATGAATAATTTATGCACAGTTTATATGCTTTTGTTGATAAAATAAAAAAACTTATTTCGTAATGGCTATTACCTAGTTTAGGTAATATAGTAATAATGCAAATAATTAAAACAAACTATATACTGAACTATATGAATTTTTTTGACAATATAAAATTTACTTTGTATTATCAAACTAACATAATAGTAGAAAAAATTAATCTTAGTTATCTAAAAGATCAAAGATTTGATTTCTTCAATAGCATACAGTAAACATAAGGTATATATAAATTAGTATTGCTTTATTTATAAACAAAATAATATCAATCATTCGAAAATATTTAAACAAGAAAAATAAGAATGTTTCTGATAAAAAAAGATAACGAATTAGCTTTAATACTTATGTCATGTCAGTTGCAAAGGCTAATGATGCAGCTCTTGAAATATTTGAGTTTAGATCAATAATAATTATTATTAATTTAACGCGAAAGGAGGAGAATCTAAAAATAAATTTTTAGAATTATTTATATATAAACATATATATAATCATTTCTAACTATAGTAAATTTTTATTAAGTTAATCTTTTGCGAGCTTTTTTAATAAAGTTATAGGGCTAGGTTTTATAATTCTAATGATAATAAGATTACTAAAACTGGGTTTCTTTAAATTATATAAAATTTTTAAATAATTTTTATCTGATTGTAAGAGAAAAGTTAAGATCTTTCAGGAATTACCCAGACAATTTTATTTATATTGTTATTATCAGAATCACAAAAACTAGCTCTACAACTTTTATTAGAACTTTATATAGTCAGGATGATGATATAAAATCTATTTTTAGAATTCTTTTTCTTTCACGGATTATCAAATAATTGAATTCATAACACATACTCATTAAGTGATAACTTACTATTCACGAACTCAAAGCATAATCATTATGTCTTTTTCGTAATGTCACATTTGATAAACTATACTTTTTAAAAAACGCCAAATAAGCCATCATGAAAGTGAGATAGATTAACTCGATCCAAGAATTAATATATAACGAATCGTTTTCTTATAATTCATCATTTATAACTATTAGTTCGATCAAACAGCCAAACAATTCTTTTTTTTTTTTTTTAAACAACCTTATTAAAGATTTTAGGTTTAATTTTCAATTAATAAAAATTAATAAAATGAATCGATTCAATCGCTTTGTTGTATGCCCTGTGATCATCTTTTTTATTTCCATGACTTTTGTCGCTTCAGGTAATTGTAAAAGAACAACTTCAAAATCAATATAATTCAATTAATATCTAATCTTAATTAATATCTTTGCAAAAAATAAATCATATTTTTCCATCACTTAAAAAAAAAAAAAAAAAAAAAAAAAAAAAAAAAAAAAAAAAAAAAAGATGTTGTAATTAATACACCCATCGGTAAAATCGCGACAGGAGCCCGAATTCAAATTAGTTGGGACATTACAGGTCAATCGTCAGGTTTATTCGGTAACCTTCGCATTCAAAACAGAGATACTGGCGAATCAACTACAATTAATGATCGACTTGATCTAACTCTTCGTAGACTTCAGTGGAAAGTTAGTGTTCCATCCGGAACATATGTTTTTGCTATAAATGATGGTACTGGTGAAAAGTTTTCTGGAGAATTTCAGGTTGCTCAGGGAGTTCCTGTAGGTGGTAGTAATAAAGCTAGTGATGTAACTAAAAAAGATGAAG